CCTTCCTTTCCCACTACTACTCAATAACACTGTATATTTAAACCAAGTTTCAACTGCTGAATTGGATTTTTTTCCAAACAGGTTTCTTTTTTTTTCTTATTATATAAGTCTCCTTTTATTACTTAAACATGTCCCAAGGTTTTTGATGGGTTGATTTTTTTTCAATTAAGAATAATTTTTTTAAAATCCGTTTTGTGCTAGTTACTATGTTAAGTAAGGGACACAAAGTCTCTCTACAAATAGTTTATAACCTTTTGGTAACTTAATACAAATCTATACTTAAGAATAATAAAAAGTTGAATATTTTTAGTGCCATAGATGCAATATACATACAGTATTAAATCTTTTGTTGGGAAGAAGAATAGAACCAGTAATTCCAAACTGTGTCCATCTGAAGTAATATTTCATAATTTTGTTGAGAGATGAAGGAAGTATGTGATCCTTTAGGGTTCTTTGGATCACTCATTCAAAATATATATTGGATTAATGTGGAATATACATACAATGTAATACTAGTTTTAAAAAGGAAGGAAATTCTGACATATGCTGCATCATGAATGAACCTTGAGGACATTATGCTAAATGAAATAAGCCAGTCACAAAAAGGTAAATGCTATATGATTCCACTTAAGAAGTAATTAGAGTAGTCATATTCATAGAGGTAGAAAGAATAGTGGTTGCCAGTGGCTGGGAAAAGGGGAAAATAGGAAGTTATTATTTAATGGATATAGAGTTTTAGTTTTATAACATGAAGAGTTCTGGAGTTGGATTATAGTAATGGTTGCACAACAATAAGAATGTATTTAATACCAATGAACTACACTTAAAAATGGTTAAGATCATAAATTTTAAGTTATGTATATGTTACCAAAACAAAAATTCAGAAAAATTTTTTTATAGGATTGTACTGTATTCAGTACAAGGGAAAAAAAATTAATAAACTCACAGTCCAAAACAAAAGACAAAATATAATCAAATAACAACAGAGTCAGCTAGATTCTTTATGTGGTCTGTATAAGTGCTAGGGTAGCATAGATACACAGATAAGAGAGTGAATAGTATTGTCCACTGAGAATAGAAATTGGTATGGGTAGGAAACAGGGTACTGATATCTTCAAAAGCTTCAAAGAAAAGCTGCTATTTGATCTGGGCTCAAAAGGCAAATACAAATTTGGAAGGATAGCAGAGACGGTATTCTTAGCAGAAGAATGGACACATTAGAAGGATGGAACATTTGTAAATTGAGAAAAGTTCTGTCTGGTTGAAACACAGGATCAGTGGAGGAGAATGGTAGTATATGATGTTAGTGAAATAGATATGTGGAGGCTACACTTTCTACCACCTTAGAGAGTTTGGATTTCATTCTAAATCAATGGTCTTAACCAGAAATGGGTTTCAGGATCATTTGTGGAGCTTTGAAATATACATGCCAGTACTTGTCACTGGAGATTTGGTTTAGTACGTCCAGAGTGAATGTGTTCTCTACTTCTTCAGTTGTCAGAGCTTCACAGTGATCCAGGTGGGTTCCCAGAATCTCTAATATAGGTAATAAGACATTACTAAAGATTTGATTTTTAAGATGAGAGACATGTCAAGGTTCATTAGCTCTGATGGCAGTATGATGGATGACTTAGAGAGAGTGGAACTTGACAGTAAGAAGACAAGATAGAAAATTCTTAAGGTGCTAAATGCTAAGGCTTCTAAAAAGCTAATGCCAGTCTGGACTAAGACAGTAACAGTAGAAACAAAACAGAGGAATGAGAGGCATTCGGAAAGTCAAAACTATTGAATGTGGTAGTCAATGAGATGTAATGAGTAAAAAAGGGAGAAATTAAAAGCAGTGCTCAGATTTCTATATCAGACAACTGGATGAGGGCGGATCCATTAAGTGGGGTAAAAACTGCTGATATAGGTTCAAATTCCAATGTCTAGAAGATTGACTGTCACAGAATAGGTGCTCAATAAATGTTAAATGAATAAAAAAAAACTCTTCCTAAACCAATGATTATATATTTGTGAATGAAAAAAATGAGTAAGTAAATGTTGATTTATAGATGGGCTTTGTTGGTTTTTGACAGACTTAGATGTCTGGCTGAGGTGGAATGGAAGATTGTAGAAAAGATATACAAAGCAGAGGGAGCTATGAAGACAAAACAAAACAAAACATCCAAAAAAGTTGGACAGTTTAGGTTGGGTTCCAGAAAAAGTAAATAGCACAGTTTGGCTCTAGAATAGTGAGAAATGAGACTGTAAAGATATAGTGGCTTCATGATATGGTGTGTCTGAAAGTCAGTCCAAGAAAGTTTCAGTTAATTAAGGAGGTTATGGTGAGTCATGACTTTTGGGCAAGAGTCTTCTATGATCTCTAGGATCACGTTCTTTTAGAAGACCCTTTTAGCAGCAGTGGGACAGGATGGATTGGCATGGGAAGAAATCTAAAGGGAGAAAGACCAGTTAGTAAGCTACTATGAAGATAGAAGCAAAAGATAATAAGAGAAAACCGAGCAATGATGATCACAGGAAGGAAAAAAAGTCAGAAGCAGATTCAAAGGATATTCAGAAAAATTAATATGCAACATCTTGCCCCAGATTGGAAAGGCTGAAAGTTAGAACTAGATTCAGGGTGGACCCTGGGTGACAAAGTATTGTGGTCTCAATGGAGAGAAATAATAATGTCAAGAAAGTAAACAGTTTCATGTGAAGATAATTGATTCTGAGGAGCCAGTAGGATGTTCCGGTGGAGAAATATTTTGGGCACCCGGAAATGCAACACTGCAGTTTAAGAGGCAAATTGGAGCCAGAAATTTAAACTTGGGAGCATTCTGGTATAGTGATAAATGATGTGTATGAGTAGATAGGATGGCCAAGGAAACTGAAACTAAGCCCAGGGAGTGGGGGGAAACGGGAGTATGCTTCCCCTTGGCTGATGGAGGGGAGTAAAATCTAGGGAGTAGAAAGAGAAGCAGTCCTAGCAACAGACAAGAAAAATCCAGAAAACGTGCCTCTCAGAAGACAGGAAACAGAACTTCAAAAGGGAAAAATAGATAAATAGAGTCAAATAGAGAATTTGAACAGGAGGAAGACTGAGATAGGGCAGATGGTCTGTGGACAAGTGAAAAAGCCTCGGTGGGGCTGAAGCTGGATTAACTGGGATTACAGATGGATGGTGTGGAGGGCATGAAGAAGCTAAACTTTTCCTACTATTTGTGATGCAAGAGTCAGGGGCACTGATAGCATGGCCCTTAGCATTACTGCCATTCAGTTTTAATGAATTCAGTGTAGCCTTCCATGTATTCTCAGTAGTCATATAACTTTCACTGAAAAAAAGAAGGTGGGAAGAATGGGTGTAAACAGCATTTGGGACCCTGAAATCTGGAATCTGATTCATGAACACCTTCTGCCTGGGAGCACTGGATCTCAACATTTCCTGAGAGGAAATAGTCAAAGTTAAAATGTTCATTTTGCATGGCAATATGTGTGCCTGAGCTATGTGTAGCAATTAACTGTAAAACCTTTTGTCTCTAATTTGAAATGCTACTTTTATCATAAACTAAATCCTCACATAAATAAATGTGTGTCTATATCTGAACTCTCTATTTCATTCCATTTTGTACCAAACCTGCTGGTATTTAATTGAGATTGCCTTGAGTTTATGAATTAACTTGACAAGAACTGGCATTTTCACCATATTTTGTCTATTAAAAAAAAGTATACTTAAGATAATTTTTTTTTCATATAGCTTTTTTCAAAAGCTTTTCCTTTTCAGTTTATAGTTATATATTTCCCTTTTGAGTTGCTATTATCGATGGTATTATTTTTTGCATCGTGTGTGTGTGAGTGTATATGTTTATGTGTGTGTGTGTGTGTGTGTGTGTGTGTGTGGATGTAAGAAAGACATAGGTTTTTCCTCAAATAAATGATCAAAAGTTTTTAAAAATCTAAAGCAAATTAAAGTTTTTAATACAATCTGACTTTCACTGAGCTGAAAGACATGCAAAAAAATCATTTCAGATAATACCATCATGTAAAAAAAATTTTTTTAAAGAATGCAGTGTATTTCACCTTTGTATTACTATGTTTTCTTACATAAGACAAGCTGTGACTGTATTTGGAGTTAAAATGTGGTGTCTGTTCAGTCCTGGTCCCACCAGTGGGAGCTCTATTTTCCACCTAATACCACACAAAGCTCTAGCTAAACTCTGGCTCTGTCCACAGAAAACCAGCCCTGTTCAGCCCTGGAAATCATGACCATGGCATTGGCTCTCCTCTGCAAGTGCTGACAGAAGAGGCTGAAGGAAGCTTTAGCCATAACAGTAAGTCCCCAGCTGCAAATCACACTCACCATAGACAGAGGTATTTACAGATAGTTTGATATAGCAATGAGTCAGAAAGGGTTTGGGGTTTACCTTATCCTTTATCCCAGTATTTTGAAATTTCAATCTGAGGAAAATCTCAAAACTATTTAACAAATCTAGACAAGAGATCAGCAAACTTTTATAGTGAATGGCTAGATAGAAAATGTGTAGGCTTTGTGGGCCATGTGGTCTGTTACAACTAGTTAACTCTGTTGTCGTAGTGAGAAAGCAGTCATAGGTAATAAGCACATGAACATGGCTGTGTTCTAATAAAACAGCAAACTTGGCCCATGGTTCATAGTTTCCAGATCTCTATTTTAGACTAATAAATTTCCAAGCCATTATTATTTATATTTTAAAAAATCAAAAGCAATGCACTAGACTCCATAGAACTAAGAATGATAGTATGCAAAGCACGAAAATGAACAAAATGCAGAAAAATTACCAAAATGATTTTTTAGCAACCCCTAAATAACAATTCTGAGCATAGTTAGTATTTGTTTGCATTATGAAGCACAAGTGGGATTATAGTGTATAATAAAACAACATATTACATTGCAGTGTGGTCACTGCTTTGAGGAAGAAGAGAGAGATGAGTGAAAAAAAAAATCATTGTTATTAATGTGAGCATTTGCTCTTACTTACCAATCCTGTACCGCGTTGAAGGATTCTTCATTTGTGATGTCATACATTAAGATAAAGCCCATGGCTCCTCGATAATAGGCTGTAGTGATAGTTCTGTATCTTTCCTGGCCTGCTGTATCCTAAAAAATAACAATAATAATTTCTCACAAAATAAGGCAATACATCTTTTGGGAGGTGATTAATGAATCCAAAAACAGAGTCTGAATTGTACTTGCAATGTATAGCTATACATCTCTTTTAGTCTTTTTCCTAATGATTTTCATATGGCAGCTATGCAATATTATGAAAAATTCTTTTTTATGGTAAAAATCTAGCTCAAAGTACCTTCTATTTATTTTCACTCCCATTAACCAGCATCTCACAATAGAAAATAAAAAGATTATACTCATCAAAATTGGTGGCTTTTTGCATAGTTTAAAACCAGAAGAGTACATTAGCACTATCATAATATATTTATTATCTATCTACTAAGTACAATTTACTTTGGGGAAAATATAAATTTATGAAAAAGTCCCTGCTTTTATAAGCATAGAGTTTAGTCAATTGTAAAATGAGAATAAAAATACCTGCTTTGTATGGATGTTTGAGTCAGACAGGTCTGGATTTCCTGCTTTCCCATTGGATAGCTGGGGGAATGTGGACAAGCCATCGAACCTCTGTAAACTGAACCTCTCTAAAGCCTAGCAGGCTTGTTAGGGTTACATGAAATAATGCATGTAAAGAGCCTGGCACACAAAAAGTTGTCAATAAATAGCATATATTGTCTGTTGTGTCTACAATTTTAGGAAGCCAGGCTCATAAAAGATGAGAGATAGCAGCTTACAAGTATAGGGGGGTTCAGGGCCTGCAAAAGAGAGGGCATGTAACAGTTAAATCTGAAATTCAGAGGCAGCTGCAACACTGAAATAACCTGTCATGTATACTGAATAGTGATTAGCTCAAGAAATTATTACTCAATTCAACCAACTTCGCAGGACCTGAGATATCACTTGCAATCCAAATCTCCCTGGTTCCCCCACTTTGCCACACTCCCTGGAGACCGGGCTCTGACTTCTCTTTCTTAGTACTCGAGGTGCTTTGAACCCATTTTGCTCAGATATGTTACCTTCTTTCTGACATCAGTCTGGATCCTTTTTCTCCCCTTCTCCAAGTGATGCTTCCCTTGTGCACGGAATGCATCCCAGCTACCCTCAGACTTAATAGGCCTTGAAGGAAAAGCTAATGTGTCAGATGACTGAAGAACAGGTTTCTTTATCATCAAAATGAAACTAGTATCTCCTGGGTCTTACTGTTAGGACAGGCTCATGTTGGATATGCTGACCCTCTCCCATAAGGCCCCCTGCTTGGATGCTTATACTCCACTGGGGACTGACTAAAAGTGGCAAACTCAGGGTTGCTTACAATCGCTCCTAATTTATATGGTATAGTCTATTTGGCCCCTGCAAGTTCAGAGAAGGGTGATCAAAGAAGGCTGAGGAAATCAGCAAATGATTTGGGGCAAATGTGGAGGTGTGAAATGGAAGTTGAAAATTAGCTAAGGGTGTGACTTTTCATGAAGCCAGCAACAATTATATCTACTCTTGGAGCATGGATAAGGTCTTGATTATAAAGGGTTTATTAGGTAATATTAGGGAAATAAGTTTCCAGAGTTAAAATGAAAACAGGCCTGGTACCCAAAATAGCAAAAATAAAGCAAAACCAGTGGGGAAGATCTTTCAGAACATCAGTGGCAGAAATCAAAAAGGGAAGTATAGATTTCACCACATGAAAATCTGACAATTCCTTGAATATAGAAAAAAAATGCTAAAAATAAAATCACAATGATATATAATCAAGTGATACACTGAGAAATACACTCACATTTTACCAGAGAAACCAAGGGTTAATATCTTTAATATACTAAGTGGTATTAGAAATCATTAAAAAATGTTAAATATTTTAATTTTTAAAATTATTTGTAAATAGGCACAGGATTAGCTAATTATTTTATAAAAAGAGCTGAATCCCAAGCATTATAATATGCTAAGAAATGCAATGCTACATAGTTTCTGCCTACATAATACAAGTTATCTGGCCATTGTTTAAATATTTTATTGTACTTTGCTTGGTATATAAACATGGATATCATAAACTGCACATAAAATTGAGACAAATATACAAATTTATTAGGCAGAAAAAGCCAATCTTGAGCTTATTTAGAAAGTCTTGGATGTGTGTTGGATTTAATTCAGTTAGCAGTACACTGAAGTGTGAAATAAAGAAGCAACTTAGTGAACAAATTCCCAAAGACAATATTTAAAAAACAAGGTACAATCAGAGATTGTGTAATATAGTTTAGCTCTCAAGGGAATAGAACCCCTTATAACTAGCCTTTCTATTTTAAAACTTGTCCATATCTCACTTGGGTTCATATTTTCCAGAACACATTATCTATAAATATACCTTTTTTTTTTTTCTATTGTAAATTAACTTTAAATGGCTTTCTTTTTCTCCTGGTAAAATATCTTTCTGGCATTGATTACCATTCTTACAGGTTGAGAACACCATTCCTGCTTTTTTCTGTACAATAGACAGAACTTTCCCGTAATTTCTCAATAGAAGAAAACAACCAATATAGCAGAGGCACTGTTAAATGGTGACGTAGACCTTTCCTGTCAAGCACTTACTCAATACAGGCACTGAATAATGTTGTGTTGGAAAACTATGACATTATCTTTCTCTTCTTGACCTTTTCCAGAGACGGCTTCCCCTTTCATAAGATGTTAATTTTATTTTGACAGAAAACAAAAACAAAAAACTAGTTCTAGTGTTATAAAACACAAGAATTTCACACTTGTGTAATCTTTGAGAGAGCAGAAATCAAGGTCCCTTACAGCTTGATTGAAATGTTACAGAAACCCTATGGTAGGAGATCCATTATGTATCAGAATTTAAAAATAGAGTGAAGGGGACCAAAACAGCTTTCAAGAAAAAAAAAAAAAAAGAAGAAGAAGAAGGTTTTGGATAGCACTTAAGGCACAGCAAGGGGCAGGACCTTCCACACCATTCTGATTTAAACTCCGAAACAATCTAATTGGAAGCAGTTGTCATGTAAAAGCTCTCAGGGAGAATAAGAAATTGCATCAATCAGGGGAAGGGTAAAAAATAGAAAGCAGAAATTTCCTCTCCAAAGGCAAAGAAAAAAGTAAACCTAAGCTAATATAAACCAACACCATGTTGCCTCTGCATCGGTTTGGGGTATTGACACAATTTCAGGATGACAAACTCATTAGCATTTTCTCTCCTATGATATCAGGAAGAAAAAGAAGTCGGAAAAACACTTCACTATATTTGACATTTTCTAATGATGATAGAAGGTCATATTTGAAAGAAAAGAACATTTTATAATGTCAAGTGCCACTAATGTAATTAAACACGAGCAGTCCCAGAAGGAAACTGACTAAAATCACACCTCTTCTTAATTTGCTCAGGAAAATGGCTCCAAACCCTGGCTTTGTGTTGTTCCTCTGCCCACTTGATTCTAATAACTGGGGACACCTGCTGATTTTCTATAAATATAGGCTTCTGGTGATTGACACCACAACTGAAAATCTCTTACAGAGACAATAGGGATAAAAATATGATTTAAAAAAAAAAAAAAACTTTCTTCCATGAGAGAGAGTTTTCATTTTCCTCCTTTTTTAAGAAAAATAAAATAATTTTAGTGGGTTTAAATATTTTGATTTCTCAATCATGTTTTTAGGAGGAATTTTTGGCTTTAATGATAGGTTTGATTAGCAAATGAATGTCTGTCAAGAAAAGAATTATAAAATAGAAAACATAGGCAGCTTGATATGTAGTAGCTAGGAACAGTTTTCAATTTGAATTTTGACATTTTTGTCCTTTTTTTTTGCCTTCATTTTTTCTCTAATGAAACATTTTGTTTATTTTTTAACTGTATGAGCTGGATTTTCAAACCCTTCTAAGGCCATGCAGAGATAATGTGCAGTTTTAGTATTGAGCAAATAGCTTTCATTTATAAAGTCTGGGTAATGTTGTAATTTGTTTTTTGTTTTGGTGGTTAATTCCCTCTGTATTGGATTAAAGAGGAAATGGAAGTAACAGTTAGTAAAGAAACATAATTCAAAAATTATCACCACAATCAGAATACATTTATTGAATGTCTAGACAGAGAAAAATAGATTGAAGGACAGACAATTTTGGTATATGACAGAGTAGGTAATTTTATAGGTGGAGAAACCAAACCAAAACTGATGTTAACTGATCAACACAAATAATTTAAGTTAAAGGAAATAATATGTAATAATCCAAAGAGGAAATCCACAGAAATTGAGGATGAGAATACTGCAACATAAGACATAAAACACACTTTAATAAGTGAATTTCCAAATACATAAAGATGTGAAATGGAATAAACAGTCATTTAAACATTCAAGCAAAGAGTGATTCCTTAACTTGTACTTTGCTACATTTTACCTGTAGGAATTATTGTGATTGAAGAAAAATTAAATTATGCTCAACATAGTTTAATATTAATGCTAATTGATTCATTCAGTCATTCAATAAACATTTAGTGAATGCCTATAGCCAGTTAGGGACCACGATAGATATATGTTAAATTTATTTTTATCTACGCTAGACATAGTTTTATATATTTTTAAATACTATGCATAAAAGTATTTCATTAATCAGAATATTATAATCCCTACATATCTACAAAAGATTGGGTAAGACTGTGAAAATATCATTTCTAAAGAACCAGATAGTACAGCAATTTAAAATTGTAATTGATACCATTGGCTCGGTGATGAAGTTCTCATATTCAGAGTCACTGTAATGGGTTGTATTGTTTCCCCCAAAAAAGATACACCGAACTTTCAGAACTTGTGAACGTGACCTTATCTGGAAATAGTCTTTGCAGATGAGTTTCAAGTTGAGATGAGTTTACACTGGATTAAGGTGGGCCCTAATCCTTTTACTAGTGTCCCTTTAAGAAAACAGAGACACAGCACCTAAAGAAGGCCACAAGAGGGCAGAGGCAGATTCGAGTGATGCATCAACAAGCCAAAGAATGCCCAAGATTGCTGGCAACCACCGGAAGCTAGGAGAGAGGCACGGA